CGCGCAGCGCCCCGCTCTGTGGAGGGAGCGTTGGCGCCTGCCGCGGCCCCGCCCTGCTGCCTCCTCTCTCGCGGCGCCTTCCTCCTCCTCAGCCCCCTCCTCATCCTCGGCGCCCTCCTCGCCCTCCGCACCCTCTCGGCGCTCCCCTCATCCTCCTCGCCTTCCTCCTCCTCAGCCCCCTCCTCACCCTCAGCGCCTTGTTCATCCTTGGCGCCCTTGTCGTCGTCGTGCTCCTTGATGCCCTCCTCACCCTCAGCACCATCCCCATCCCTGCTGCCCTCCCTGCCTCACCACCCCCTCACCCTCGGGTGGCCTAAGCCCCTGGCCGCGGTGTTGTTGTGGGCCCAGGCGTCCAGCTCGGGCGGCGGCATCTTGTTCTCACATTTAGTGTGGAAAGAGTAAGCGGTGTCCTGGGCAGCGCTGTCCTCAGCAGGCAGGGTTGTCCTCAAGAGTCAGGGATATCCTCAAGAGTCAGGGATGTTCTCAGGAGTCAATGATGTCCTGGGCAGCAATGTTCTCAGCAGGCAGGGATGTCCTAGGCAGCATGCAATGTCCTCAACAGTCAGGGATGTCCTCAGCCATCAACGATGTGGAAAGAGTAAGCGGTGTCCTGGGCAGCGCTGTCCTCAGCAGGCAGGGTTGTCCTCAAGAGTCAGGGATATCCTCAAGAGTCAGGGATGTTCTCAGGAGTCAATGATGTCCTGGGCAGCAATGTTCTCAGCAGGCAGGGATGTCCTAGGCAGCATGCAATGTCCTCAACAGTCAGGGATGTCCTCAGCCATCAACGATGTTCTCCACATTATGGGATGTCCTGGGCAGCGAGGGACATCTGATGCAGTACGTGATGTCCTCATCAGTCAACGATGTCCTGGGCAGGAAGGGATGTCCTCATCCTTAAGTGATGCCCACAACATTAAGTGATGTCCTCGGCAGTAAGGGATGTCCTGGGCAGCAGCCGTGGCTATTCCTGGGGCCTTCATCTGGCACTATACCACCTGCTGCCAGTGGGGTGTCCACCACAGGGCCGCATGGGCACCCCGTCTGTCAGCCTGGCCCTGCACCTCCTGCTCAGCACCGCAGCAGCCTCCTTGGAGGTTGCCCCTATCTCAGCCCCGGTTGGGGACCCAGCACTGGCAGCCCCCGCCTGGGGTGTTAGTGCCACGGTCCCGGTTGGGTCCTCTTGGAGAGCGAGGAGCCAGGAGGGAGAAGGGGCAAGGTGAGGGAGGAGCGGCAAGGTGAGGCCGCCTGGCCCCCACCAGCGCCCACGCGCCCCGTGTTGCCATCGAGTGGGCGCTCCCCTCCTTCCCACACTCGCACAGAGGCGGACCACGAGCCTTTGTGGCATTTCAGTAAAGTAAATATGCTCATACGTTACATTAAGTAATGTAAATTTGCTCGAGTCTTAAATAGTTGAGGCATTGAGTTCTGCTGCAGGAATATTAGGCAGAATCAAACTCCACAGAAAATAAAATAGATTATTAAGACTCTATAAACAAGCCCATTCATGAATGAAAAATGTCAGCTGCAAACTGAACAAAATATTTTTCACTTTTATTTACCTTTCTGGAAATATGAAATGTAAGGGTATAATACAGTAAGGCTTCCAAAGAGTTAATGCGCGTGCTATAATCGTTCCACCTCTTAAAATCCACACACGCACCCTTGTATTGCATTTCTCACAAAGCTAAAATTACCATTCACAACCATAACTGGAATAAAAGTAGTACATTAATCCTTTATGAAATGTGAAAAACATTATTAGCACACAGAAGAGAAGGTTTTTTTCCACTCCTTAATCATTTCACTTCAGTTAATGACTTGAAGAAAACTGATAAGAGAAAAAAAGACAAGGGAAACCTATCAGCAGCAAGTCAAAGATAATAAAAAGGATTTAAAATATACGTTATTAAGTGCAAAAATTCTACAAATTGAACTGTCAAAAATAATACATAAACGGCTGAAAATTTTTCTTTATGTATTTGTGAAGGAGCTAGTTGATGCAGTCATATCACAGAACAATGACACATTTTCTGCATTTAGGCATTTCTGGATCATGTGGTTGAGATAACTAACTTCACAGATTTTTTAAACCTGATGGGTTTGAGTACCTCTCGTGGCCGTTTTTAATAACGCTTAAAGTATTGGGTAAGTTTCAAAGGAGCAGAAGCAAACCAGACTCCAATATTTGAAAAGAGTAAACAAGATAAGATAGACAATTATGGGGATTTTCAGCAGATGATGATCACAGGCAGTAACAGAATAGTTGATAAGTAACACTATTTATAAGGAATTAAAGGAGGGGATTATAATGCTGGATTAACTAGGGTTTATGGAAAATTAATGTTGCAAAAATAACCTCATACCCCTTTTGATTATAGTAGATGTGTGAAAGAAAGCAATAATGCTAATCTTCAGACTTACACTTCCTTAAGTATTTGGTACGGTGTTTCGTGTAACGTGTATGCAACAGATTAAGAACTGGGCAAGTTTCAAACTGCATTTTTAAGTGCAGGGTCATCACTAAGCAGGGACTTTTCCCATTTAATCACACAGAAAGCAAATGGTTCTGTGTGTTACGTGAATTTCATATTTTTGTTACTAAGTTCAAATAAAATATAAAACCATAACTGGAGGAAGTTTGCAGATTAGGGAATGGTAACAGATAAGAATGAGAATAACTGACACACAAAAGTGCTTTATGTTTCATAAGGCCCAAATATAATATATTGTCAGTGTGGGGGGAAAAAAAGGTATGCTGTATTTACAGTTGGGAAAAGAATAGCTGAAAAACGCTTAGGATAGAAGTAGATGAAAACTATGTTGTGATCAGAAAGTCTTATGTGATAGGTATTTACATATAAAAATGAACCAGAAGAGCAAACAGGAATATATTATTATCTTTGTACTGGGCAATTCTATGACTGCAAAAGGCATATTGTGTCCAGCCCTCATACCTGTTGTTCAGAAAAGGAGCAAATGATAGATGTTTTGGAGAACTGCCTTAGGGATGATGAAAGAACTGGAAAATAGAGAGAAACCTCTTTAATATAGCATACAAGCCCAAAGCAAGAGCCCTCCCATGGCTGGGTGATGAAGCCAAGTAAATTCGGTTGGAAATTACAGCCAAGTACAGCTTTTTAAACTGAGAAATCTGGAAAAACTGGGAATCTTAACTAGGGTATGGTGGATTCTTGGCCCCTGGAGATTGTTAAAAATTTCTTTTTTTTAAAAGATATGATGTAGCTCAAACAAGTAATTCAGGGCCGTCACAGAGCTGAGTTAAACAGAAGGATCGGAATCGAGTCACAGCGATCCTTCTGGCTCTTTCACTTTGATGTCTATGAACGGTAACCATCAATTTATACATATTTATATTCATTGATGAGTGTGTATCTTGTGTGTTGAAAAAATGCTAGGTATTGAAAAAACTTAGAATAGCGTACTTTAAATATTTGATTTCAATGGATTTTATAAAATTATCTTGCAAAAACACTGAACACCAACTTATTATTTAGTACAAACAATGGTAAACAGGTTTCGATGTATTTCAGTTCGCCTAGGGAACAATGCCAACAGATAGCTAGGACATACTGACCTGACTTAGTAGTCTTGTCTCCCTGTTAATGAGCAGTCACAGAAAAAGATGAAAAACATCAGCTAATGAGGCTGAGAGAAGGGCGGCGGGCAGTGGGCTGTGAGCACGGGGGCGGCCTCCGTGGTGAGCCATGCGGAGGATCAAGGGGCTGCTGGGCACAGGCTGCCCGCACAGGCAGCAGATGCCCTGCACCAAAATATGGCATAGCCACAGCATCCGACTTTGACAAAATGCTCTATCCTTACTATACGTTTTCTGTGGCTTATTGCACATGAGTGTTAACCATAAGAGAACATAACAGACACTATGACAGTATAAGGGGAGCTATTTCCTTCTAATTACTGAAGTTCAGATCAAAGTTATTATTGCTTTTGGAGACACAAGCAACTTGACAATCTACTTGTTCTGTCATACATGATGAGGTAAGGAAATAATATGTGTGGGAAAAAAGAAAAATTTTCATAGGTATTAAAAAATGCCCTTCATCATATGAATGATATTGGTGAAAAGAACACTCTGCTCTTAAAAATGCCTTGAAAAGACTTATTTTCTCCCAGCCAGGAACTCTGCAACTGATGAAAGTGCCTGCTAATTTTTTTATGCTGTAACTGTGGGACAAAATGAAAACACTCTGGAGCTTTATCTTAACTTCTAATTTCTACTGATATTCATTATGCTATTCACATTTCACGCATGCTTCTCAGTGAATAACTCCTCCTCAGCCCTCTTTCCCCCATCCAAACCATAAGCTCCCTGAAGTCTGCCAGCAATTGGGTCTGCCACTGACACAAACAGGCCTGCTACCAGAATTAGAGGGCGTAATGATGCCTGATAGGAAAATGAAACAGTCATTTGGATGCAAAGCCATTCAGGAAACCCATTTGGGGATCTCCAATTCAAATTCAAATCAAGATTTTAAATGTTCTTAGGTTGCAGAACAGAAAATTCCACCCTGAATCATCAACTTGGTTCATAAACAAATACACACACACACACACAAAAAAAACCTGAAGAACTGCAAGTTGGCTGAAGTTCTGCAACTCAAGTGTGGGCACCTAGATACATATTAGAGCGACAACACATGGACTAAACTAGATGCACAAATGACTTCAAAATCCTGTAACATTAGTTATGTCAGAGATTAACAATGAGCCCTCCTGGCCTTAAATTTCTGTGAATCCCTACAGTCAGAACACATCCTCTGCCTCCTGGAGCGCTCTCTAATAGTACGGACTGTGCCTCTCACCTGAAAATCAAATTCAGTCATGCAAAAGCCTGCTAGCTACAGTGGGATGTTATCTGCGATAAGTACCTGGGTCATGTTCCCAGATATCCAGCTGCAGAAGCAGGATTTTACATACATGCACTGAAGTAATTAAATTATTTCAACTTTTGCAGAAAGTATTAGGTAATCCAAAAATGCAAAGAAAAACCCCACGTGGCAAAAGATAGTGCTATGTGGAAATACATTCACAAACATTATGAAGTATTACAGTGGCCTGCCTGAGAATCAGAGAATGACAGAGCAGCTGGGGTTGGCAGGGACCTCTGGAGATCATCTGGTCCAACACCCCGGCTTTAGCAAGGTCACCTAGAGCAGGCTGCCCAGGGCTGTGTCCAGTTGGGCTGTGAATACTTTCAAGGTCGGAGACTCCACCACATCTATGGGCAGCTTACTCCAATGCTCAGTCACCTTCAAGGTAAAGAAGTGCTTTCTTGTGTTCAAGTGGAATTTTCTGTGTTTCAGTTTGTGCCCATTGCCTTTTGTTCTATCAC